CTTTTCGTGAATGGCGGCGACGGTGGATTGATTATGCTACAATGGTGGATCTCCAAAGCTTGTCACAGCCTAAACAACTCATTCAGCTACGTATGTGTCTGTCTTTGGAAACACAGCGTGTCTTGGAACATACGTTGCAGGTGCCACCGACTTCTTCGTCGTCTGTAGAGGAGGTACTGGATGTTCTACAACGGCACATCAAAGGTCAGCGGAACAAAGCTCTACGCAGGAGGGAATTGTTTAGTTGTAGACAGATGGAGGGCGAGACTTTTGATGCGTTTTATGTACGACTCAAGAGAGCCTCGGAAGAGATAGACATATGCCCTGATAATCACCAGCAGTGCGAGGAGACTCATATGAAGCAGGTGATCTTGATGGGTGTTAAGGACGAGGAGCTTGTCCAGCGCCTCACCTCCCTCGACTCTTCCTCTTCTCTTAAGGATGTGTTGACAAAATGTCGCTCCTATGAGGCTGCCAGGTGTGCCACCTCTGCCATCTGAGCTCCCCCTTCAGCAGTACGGGCTATGTCCCAGTACAAGAAGGACAAGAAGTCTACCCCAACGCCTTCGCCCACCACAACCACGCTCACGCCCGGCTCCTTTTGTAACAGCTGTGGTAAGCAGCACGGAACACAGGTGTGTCCAGCTGCTGAGTCTACCTGCAACAGTTGTGACCGTAAGGGCCACTGGTCACTCACAGTACGGTGCCCAGCCAAACGTGTCCATTGCAATGTGTGTGGTCGCCTGGGCCACTATGACAAGTATTGCCCTACCAACAAACCCAAGGGACAGCGTCGGCGGAAGCAGCAGCACCCTTTCACCAGTGAGGGCCGCCCACAGTCGTCCAATCAGAAGCACGACGACCCTGGACAAAACTCGAGCCATATCAGGAAGGTGTAATCCCTCTCGCGTCCCAGGACCAAAGTTCCCTTGCACATCAGCGTCATTGTGACCTACGGCAGTGTGTCATCCCTTCTCCAGATGCTGCCCGACACCGGCGCTGATGCTACAGTCATCGGTCCCCAACATTTGCAATGTTGGGGCTCTCTCCAAGGGATCTAGGACCGCCTTCCAAGGATCTCCGCTTCACGGCAGATGGTTCACAGACGGCCCCAGCCCTAGGTTCACTCCAAGCACATGTCACCTTTGGCAACAGGTCGTGTCAAGCCTGGATTGATGTGCATAATGGTGTCCCGACTCCTTTGCTGTCCTACAGAAATTGCCAAGAGTTGGCCATCATCTCCCAGGACTTCCCGAAACCTATTCTCGAGGTAAAACACGCCAACAGGGTGCACGAAGGAAGAAGCAACCACCCTGCTGTTGCCCTACCCCTACCTCTCCTTCGGATGCTCGGAAGTACTTCCTGAAGGAATTCAGCGACGTTCTGGTGACCAAGTCCGCTCTGGAATCCAAGCCTCTCAAGAAGATGGTAGGCCCCCCCCATGAGGATCCACTTGAGGGACGGTGCGAAGCCCTTTGCTATCTACACCCCTCGACTGGTCCCCCTGGCCTTTTGTGATGTGGTCAAAAACGAGCTGGACTCCATGGTCGCCCAAGAAATCATTGCACCGGCCGGTGATGACCCGTCTCCATGGTGTCACCCTATGGTAGTCGTCGCAAAACCCAAAGGTGGTGTTCGGATCACCACTGACCTCTCCAAGCTCAACAGCCAGGTGTCTCGTCCTGCGCACCCTTCTCTCACGCCCTTTGCAGCTATATGTAGTGTGAACCCAAAGGCGCGCTTCTTCACAACGATGGACGCCCTGTGTGGATACTGGCAGATAGTGCTTGCCGAAGAAGACCGACCACTTACAACTTTCATTACCCCGCATGGACGTTACAGTTATTGCCGTGGCCCCATGGGATTCGCCGCTACAGGAGATGCCTTCTGCCTTCGAGGTGATATGGCTCTACAAGGTCTGGCAAACTGTGTGAAAGTGGTCGACGACATACTCGTGTACGATGAGGACTACATGGATCACCTCTGCCGTATCTACGAGGTACTCAACAGGTGCAGGAAGCACGACATCACCCTAAAGGCCGACAAGTTTGTTCCTGCCGGCTCTTCAGTGGACTTTTGTGGGTACACCCTCTCCGGGAAAGGTATTGCAGCTGACCCGGAGAAGGTCCGCCCCATCACGGATTTTCTCACCCCTGCCAACCTCACCGACTTGAGGTCCTTCATCGGTCTTGTCAACCAGTTAGCAGAATTTTCGCCGGACATCTCTGCAGCCGCCCAACCACTTCGCCCCCTCATGAGCTCCAAGAGGACATTCCTGTGGACTCCCGACCACGACAAGGCCATCCAGCAAGTGAAACAGGCCCTGTCTAGTCCACCTGTCCTTGCCACATTTGACCCAGTCTTGTCGATGGTTCTGCAGACAGATGCCTCATGCTTGTACGGCGTGGGATATGCCCTATTGCAGGATCATGGTGGAGGGCAGCTCCGGTTCGTCCAGTGTGGCTCGCGTTTCCTTTCTGACACCGAGATGCGCTATGCCACTATTGAGATGGAGCTGTTGGCTGTGGTTTGGGCGATGTCCAAGTGCAGGTTTCATAGGCCTGCAACACTTTCACCGAGTGACCGACCATCACCCGCTTGTGCAAATCCTCAACCACTACACGCCGTTGAGAACCCTCGCCTCCAGCGTCTGAAGGAGAAGCTCTAGGCGTACATCTTCACAGCAGTGTGGCGTGAGGGTAAGGAGCTCTGCATCCCTGACGCCTTATCCCGCTCTCCTGTCAGCCGCCCTACTCCAGAAGACCATGTGCTAGATGCCGACCTCACTCTTTCCGTCAGGACTGTGGTCACCCTACACGCCATCCAATCCCTTCGTTCGGACCTGTCACCAGATGACGACAAGGCAATGGAGGACCTTCGAACAGCGGCCCGAGATGACCCTTCCTACGTCTGACGCGTCGAGTGTGTGAGGAATGGATTCCCTAGCCACCGCTACGACCTGCACAACACCCTGCTCCCGTATTGGAAACTCCGCAATGAACTCTACTGAGACGGAGACCTTGTTCTGTACGGAGCACGTGTAGTTGTCCCTGCTGCCTCACGTCCCCACGTCTTGGCTCGCCTTTCTATACAGTCACCGTGGAGCTGAGACCACCAAACGACGTGCAAGACAGGCCGTGTTCTGGCCTGGCATTGACTCCGACATCTCCAATGCTGTCCGTGCGTGTGAGCCCTGCCAAGCACTACAACCCAGCCAGCAGCAGGAACCCTTCATGAGTGACGACAACCCCACCCAGTGGGTGGCACCCGCCCCTTTGAGTCTGTGTCGGCAGACTTTTTCTGTGTGTCAGGAAAGTCCTTCTTTGTTATCATCGACCGTCTCTCTGGTTGGCCAGTTGTCATCAAGTGCGGTAATGATATGAAGTCTGCCGCCACCATCAGCAAGTTCCGCCACTACTTTCGTGATGTGGGCGTTCCTGTGCGCCTGCGAACCGACGGAGGGCCCCAGTTCACAAGCCGGGACTTTGCTGCGTTCCTTGACCGATGGGGAGTCCGGCATGTGTTGTCATCGCCCCATTACCCGCAGTCCAATGGCCACGCTGAGGCTGCTGTCAAATCCCTGAAGCACCTCATCCTCAAAGTGGCCCCTTCTGGGAATATTGACTGCGAGGCCTTCGATCGGGGTCTCCTTGAACTCCGCAACACACCCAACTACACCGGACGCTCCCCTGCCCAGGTCTTGTATGGACGCCCCCTCCATTCTTGTGTCCCTGCTCACCCTCAGTCCTTCTCCAAGGAGTGGCAGGCTAAGACAGAGGATTGTGATCGCCGAGCTGCCAAATGTGTTCACGATGTCGTCGCCCGCTACAACGACCACGCCTGTTCTCTTCCCAAGTTGAGTGTTGGCACCCAAGTCCGTGTTCAGGACCCGACCTCCCTACGTTGGGACAAAGTGGGCGTTGTCATGAGTCTCGGTAGGTCACGGGACTACCAGGTGCGGTTACCCAGTGGTCGTGTGTGGTGGAGGAACCGCCATTTTCTCCGCCCCGTAACAATGCCTTCTGCTGACCCCGTCACCAGTGTTGAGTCCTATATCCTCCCCAGTGATCAAGTCCCTCGACGCTCAGAACGGATTCAAAAGAAAAGGTCCGCTCAAGACTTTGCTATTAGCGTATAGGGGGGAAAGGTGTATGTATATTATGTATGGGAAATATATACATTGATATATATTAATTGTATTATGTAATATGTACTTATATATCTGCATTCCATGTATGTATTCCATTTATATATATATATTACTTATTTAGCCTAGCCAGCAGCGTGTGGCAATGCCTTTATTATGTCCCACACGCTTAGATAATGTGCCTGGCGACATCTGGAAGCTGCTAATGTATCACTTGCCACATGTTGCCTGAGGGCTCAGTTGCCCCATAGCAAGAGTAGGGAAGTATTTGCCTGTACCTCTGCACGTCCAGCAATAAGAACCTACAAAGAACTCTACAGGTGTTTGTGTTCGCCCCTGTAGTTAGAACTTAGTATACTTAGAACATGTACAGTTATCACCAGTAACCTCCAAATCATTAGAACAAGTCAGATTTATTCTTAAGGCTGTTTGAAACTTTGCCAAGTCTCATATTTGTTCAGCTGATCTATAATTGAATTTGGTAATAGCTACTAGAGAAATTGGAAATACTGTAAATAAAAAACTGGTAATGGTGTTTTCCACTTAAAATCCCTCTTATAATCAGATTTAGATACTGTATTGAATATTATGCAGTACATCAGTATTTATTATACAATTAGATACTGTACTTCTGCAGAGCATATTATTGAGTTGAGAAGCACAGGTTATTACACCCTGTAAGTCTTTCCCACCACCTTCCATTCTTGGTCCTTTGGGTCACGTTGAGTCAACAATGAGGAGGTTTGTGATACAGTACTGGGGAAATGGTGTAGGTTCTAAACTCTATGCGGGTGATCCAAAAATTAATGGAAGAACAAAGACAGTCTTATTAAAACAAAATAAAAAACACAAGCATTCGAATAATATACTGTTTATTTATATACATATTGGGTATACTGTACACAATACAGTAATGCTAAGCAAATAAACATTCACCATTAATTTATGGAGATCCTTTTTTTTTCCTAGTAACAGAATAGCATCAAATATGATGACATATTGTATGAGAAAACTATTCAATATATATCTGGATGCTGTGCAGTAATTGTTTTTATATCAGTACTGTAATAACAAGTGAAAACTATGGGTCTACCATGAACACATTCTCCCACACACACACACACACAAAACCTTTATCTAATACACCACCTAGCAAATCATCAGTGTATCCTTGAGCCAGGGCATTCACCATTCTAGCCACTCCTTCATGTACCTACACTTGACAGGCGTCACGTTACCCACATCATCACATTCTTTGATGAGCTGTAATGAAGAGATTACAATCAATATCAACAATTATCTTAAATCAGTTCTATCATAATTAAAACTGAAGAAGGGCCAGTGACATCTTTTCTTGGTGTCCAAGATTTCATGTTTCAGATAAAAGAATGTGAAAATGCACATGTTCTCCAGCTATGAAAACATAGAGGTACGTCAGGTTGGCTTTACTTGTCAAGTTTAATTACTGTATCTTCAGAAAATTTTGATCCTGTACCATGTGATTAACAAGCTGAGCTCTATCTTCTTACAGAATCAGCCACACAGATGCTAAATTTTTACTCTTTACATCACTATGGGATCATCTACAGTCTCTCAGTTTTTTCAAATACCTGTACAGTATAGTCTCGATTTACACGGATTTCCTTTACGCGGCACCTGGCCAGACCGGCAATTATTAGTTACGCGGTACATTCCATCATTTACGCGGGAAGTGGCGCGAGCAGGGTGCGTGCAAGGTCGCCCAGTCAACAAAACATTACCGAGTTCTTCATCCGCCACCCACCACAGCCAGCCCAAGTCAGTGATAGTGAGGATATGGACTTTGCGGGGTTTGACAAGAGGCCCTGCTAGCCTCTGTGGTGGATAGTGATACAAGTGATACAGGTGAGGGCCAATAATCTGCCCTCTGCCTCGGAACCAAACCCCCATCCCCGTGTGCCCAGCCATCTCTTCTACTAACATAAGTGTTAAAAAACCTCATAATATTGATATTTCTCTTAAATATTAATTGTGTGCATACCATCATAAAATTAAGGTGTTATTTTTACTACAACGTACGCATTGTGTCGGAAAAAGGGTAGTCTGGGGGTCGGCCCAGTCTCTATTTCAATTAATCCCATATGTTCTGTTATTTCGTTAACGGGTTTCTCGTTTTACGCGGACCTCCACGGGTTTAATTGACCGCATAAACTGAGACTATACAGTACATCAAAAATTTTCTCTCTTAAGCATTACCTGAATTTTAATGGCAATTAATATGTAATTTATATTCTTGGATACTCTTCTGAATGATTCTTGTCCTAGTGATACTGTATTATGCCTTTACTCATATTTACAATCTTCCCTACCTTCTACTCCCTTCCACCCTTTTCTCAGTTTATTTCTCTAATTAAATTACCGGCTAAGACTTCCCATACAATGCCTTCAGTAATGACCATGGGAAATTTAAGGATCCTGATGTCCTTGCAATGTCAACTTCAAGTATGCAATCAATCCTATTTTCCTATTGCATGTCCTACTCAATCTGTAGAAACACTTCACTGCTTCCAAGTTTCTCTTCTCTTTATATAACCTCATTTCAATATTTGGCTAATCACATTTGCTCATTAAATTATGTCAGTCCTACACAGTCTCTTCTTTCTTAGCAGTAAATTTCTCTTCCTCAATGCACTTATCTTGCTTCTGCCACACTAAAGATGCTGCACTATAAATTTCCTGACACCTCAATCAGTATATTCAGTTAGAAAATTTACCAATTAATTAATCATTATAATGCCTCAACTTATAGCAGGTTTCTGGGTTATTTCTGGTCACCTCCCTCACATTACTTCTGCTTTCGTTCTTGGCTTTTAAAACATTATTTCAAGCACACACAATATAAATAAACACAGTACAGTCGGCCCTTAACATACGCGGGGGTTACGTAACAGAGATACCCGTGGATGTTAAAAATCCGTGTATATGTGCTGCCCCCCCCCAAAAAAAACGGTCCCCCCATGTCCTTATTTACCGTATATACCTGTGTGTAGTTCAAGTTTTTAAGACCAAATTATTTGGCAAAAAGTTGGGGGTCGACCTCTAAACGAGTAATAGTTTCGTTAGGTTGAAAAATATTTGCCAGTAACTACCAGTAAACAATGGGAACGACGCACCAACGCACCACCAGCTGTGAGTGTCGGTACAGTTGCCAGGGCAGATCTCTTGCATCATCACAGCAAGCCCAAAGTAGCTAAATCCATGGTATGGTATGCACAGGACGATGTAAAACATAAAGTATTCATTTTTTAAAGTTTATTTATAGATACTGTACGTAAATTTTTGTTCATTACATTTGAAACAAAAGAGAACTACGATACCGTATTTCTAAATACCAGGTATTTTCATTAAAATATTACATCACAAGTATATTGTACCTTAACTGTGACTGAATGAATATATTCTCAGAAATAAATATGGAAATGTAATATTTTTGCTGAAATGACGTACATATTACAGTGGAAAGACGAAAACAATGACTTTCGCTTTCTTTCGTTATTCAAAAGATTTTACCGTAATCGCTTTTCGAATGGTTTTCAGTTAAAAAACTGTTGTACTCGTACTGTATTGCAATAATATTCTATCCTATCATTAGCCTTATAATCCCACAACTGAAAACCATTCGAAAAGAGATTACGGTAACATCTTTTGAACGAAAGAAAGAGAAAGTCATTGCTTTCGTCACAATTTTATCCCACTTTCCACTGTAATACGTACATCATTTCAGCAAAAATATTACATTTCAATGTTCTCAGAAATAAAAGGTAGTTTTGTTGAAACGTAATGTACAATATTTAATATTAAAATGCAAAAATAGCTATAAAAACAATTAATACACCCGTAATGTACTGGCTGGCATCTCCACTCGTCCCTGCTCCCGCGTCCAAGGTCACCACTCCTCCCAACTCGCTCCTTCCGCTCCCTCCTCTACCTCCTCCCCGTCACTACTGCTGACAACGAACACAAATGTTTTGTGAATAACTGCACCTCCACTTCCTATGTACAGTACTGAACTGTACTGTGCTGTGCATTTTTACAAACAATAAACATGGCAAGAAAAGCTATTAAAAAAAAGAGATAAAAATTTCGCTTTACTATACAGTACCTATCCTCGGCGACAGGACGGGGGTCATCGGGCTCATCGTCACTCAATTCCATAACGGGTGGTGAAGTAGGGGCGATGGTGGATTCAGCCGCTTCCTCACTGTCGCCAGTGATTGATGGTGTTAAATCTCTCCTTCGGTGATCAAAGAACATGGTGATGGGGAGTTGTCGTCTCTTTCTTTCATTTCTTCAATGATGTTTTTGTATGGAGCGAAAACATCATCCATCCCTCGCATGAATTTCAGGGCAAGCACCATGGAGGGGTCCATACTATAGGCCAGGTTTTTCAGTGCCTCAATATTCCTGGTCATCTCCCCAAACTTCTCCAACGTTATTTCTTGGAGCTCTTCCTCATGCTCTTTCCCTTTCGCTTCCTCTTCCTTGCCTGAGTCTACTAACTCCTGTAGCTCCTCCACGGTCAGCTCAGTGTCGTGCTCTTCAATTAGCTCCCTAATCTCATCCTCTGCCATGTCCCGGAAGCCTTCAGCAGCCACTTTCCTTGACAGTGCCAGGGTCTTTCTGAATATTTTCATTAAAATCCATCAAAATCATTTTCCTTGTCATCGTCTTAAGCACCAAACAGCTCCTCCCAGTCTTCTCCTTGAACAGGGCTAGAGGGTACGTGTTTTTCGAATCGTTTTCAATTAAAAAAATGTTACAGCACATGTATATTTTACCTAAACTGTGCCTAAATGAATATATTCTCAGAAATAAATAGTAGTTTTGCTGAAACGTAATGCATTTCAATGTAAATTAGGATAAACTACATGAAAACAAAAGACTTTACCTAGCCTTTCGATGTTCAAGATATGTTACTCGTTTTTTTAGTAGTTTTCGGTTAAAATACTCTTATATTAGTGATATTCTATTCATACTGTGCTTGATATAATACAGTACATTCACGGAAATGTAATATTTTGGCAACTACAGTGCTGATGTCAACACAAGTGTGGTTACAGCGAGACTGACTGAGTGAGGGAGAGCTATGCGCGTGTGTGTGAGGTTGCGGGAGCGGGCGGTGTCCCGTGTTCGGTGCCGCGTGTGAGTTGAATGGCGCGCGATTTGAATGTACAGTAATACCCCGCTTAACGCGGTTTCGCTTAGTGCGATTTCACGCATACGCGGTGCCTCGCCAGAGCCGAACTTTCACTTAACACAGGTTTTTTCCACGTATACGCGCAGTGTCCGGCTCGAGACACTATTTTTAGATTCGCCCCACCCGCCACCTGCCTGCCTGCCTGTTTTAGCTCATAAAATTCATACAAATTACCAGGCCAGAATATAATTTACATTGCTGGAATTCTTACAATATGATGATCATTTTGAATATAAACATCATAGATTTTCCATTAGACATACAAATTTTAGATATAATGTTTACTCTGAGTAAATATGTTATCTTTTGTGCAAAATATATGACATTTATATTGAAAATATTCCTGGTCTTACAGGGAATCCAGCAATGTCAATTATATTATCCTAACTTTAGTTTGAGGTTTTATTTATTACTAAAAAGGTAAATATTCTGGTTTTCTCACACATCTGGTAGGGAGGGTTGGTGGGAGGTGGGGGGAGGGAGGGACCGACCGACCATTTGTTACGGTGTGAAGAATATTTTTTTTTTTATTAACTGAAGATATTTGTTTTAGCTCATAAAATTCATACAAATTACCCGGCCAGAATATAATTTACATTGCTGGAATTCTTACAATTTGATGATCATTTTGAATATAAACATCATAGATTTTGCATTAGACATACAAATTTTAGATATAATGTTTACTCTGAGTAAATATGTTATCTTTTGTGCAAAATATATGACATTTATATTGAAAATATTCCTGGTCTTACAGGGAATCCAGTAATGTCAATTATATTATCCTAACTTTAATCTGAGGTATTATTTAATGCTAAATGTTAAAATTTAGTTTTTTCACCCAACATCTCTTGAAGGGAGGGTTGGTGGGGGGTGGGGGGGGAGGGTTGGGACGGACCGACCATCTGGCGCGGTTAGAAGAGGGGGGGAGGCAAGGTGGGGTACTTTGATTGACAGATAGTGTCGTGAAGAATATATTTTTTTTATTAACTGAAGATATTTTTTTTAGCTCATAAAATTCATACAA